GCTCTGCACTGGTGTGTGCAGGAGAGCCAGCTCAACGTGGTCATGTCTGTAGCAAAACCTTCCCAGAACCTCCACCTAATTGATGTAAACTCTAGGTCAAAAGCAAGATTTGTACTCTACCTGCAGGCTGGGCAGTGGGCATTGCAGAGGCTGTGGCCACCTGAGAATGGAGGTTCTTTGTGGTTAGTGAGCACAGAACTTAACTGCCCTGAGCTTTGGTTTCCAGATGCAAGCAGTAGGTATTACTGTGACTGGTTTCAAGCTGGATCAGGTGTCTTCTGGACCTCTGGGTCCACATAGGCATTTTGGAAAGCTCTGCTTCTTGTGATCAACACTTTCTTCCTCATGGAACATGGTGTGCTGCCTGTGTTGAACTAGCTGCTGAAAACACAGAGCTGTAACTGTCCCTGAATGTGGATTCAAAAACCATGACTAGAGATCTCACTGGAGAACTGGGCAAGAGGGTGATATGTCCTCTGTGCTGGGAGGGGAGTGCAGCTTCTGTCCTGGACCAGGCAGCTCCTGGGAAGGTCTCTGCAATGGCACAGAGACCAGGGCAATCCATAGCAGGGACCTTGCTAGGGTGCTAACAGCTGGGATTCTTCATCTTTTGGAGTCCTTCCACACTTGCCTGCCCAGCTAGGAGTGTGAGTGGACAGTGGAGGCAGCCCTGCTTCTGCTTTGCCTGGCAGCCAGCTTGATAAAACCATCACTGGCTTTCCTGAGGAGTGCTGGAGCTGGCAGCTCACCCTGGGCCTGCACGGGAGGCCACTCAGGAGTAGTGACTCAGAATAGCTCATTGCTCTGCCCTGTCCTGCAGCTCAGTAAGAATACAGGTTTCCTGGGAGGTGTGTTGGGGTGTTACCTGAGCTTCAAGAAGCCTACAGGAGAGTCCAGCCCGTTGTCCATGGGAGGTGGCTGCACGGCGTGATCCATGGCAGGCTTGTTGACCAGCAAGGCTCTGGATTCACTAAAAACTTCTGTTCAAAAATGTTTCCATGTGACTTAGTCTTTGTCCCAAGAGGTTTAACTAGAGCCCTGGAATATGAATACCAGCTGTGAAGGAAGAACTAGAATATTCCTTATTTAGGTAATTTCCTAATAACTTCCCAGTTCCCTAAAAATAGTGCAGATAAAAAGCTCCACAGAACCAGACTGGCGCTGAGCTGGGAAATGGGAGTTGCTGGGTAATCTAAAACTCACTCTATTGTGTCTCACTCCAACACTAACATCAGGAAAGAGTTTCCTATTTTTAGCATAATTTGTTCAAGTGTCTTAAAGTTCCTGGGTACACAGCTATCCATTATTTTGAGTAGAAACACACACTAGTCTCTTAAATAGCAGTGAAAATCCCCACCTTCCTCTAAATCAACATACAACTTATAGGATGGGTAAAAGTAAAAAACACAGATCTAAAAATATTTAATCAATATATAACATAAAAAACCTCCATGTTTAACTTCCTCTAACTTATATGGTATATAGTGTGGCTGTTGTAGGCTGAATCTGTTCCAAGATCTCTGTTTACTTGCTTTGATCTATTCCAGTTCATTTCCCTTTCTTGGAAGAACAGGACCCCTTTGGTTACCAGCACATCTACAACCCCTTTCTTACCAGACCCCATCCTGGTATACATTCATCTTTCAGCTTTAAACCAAACTCACCCCAAATTTTTTAGCACTCAAACTAAACTTCCTCACTTGAATTTGAAGATTCAAGTGATACCTAATTTGGCTCTGTTTTTCAGGAGCTTAAAATCCTGACTTTGTGTGTTGGCACAGCTTTGGTGCTTCAGGAGACAGTGTGAATCCACTTTTCTACATTAACCATACCTACTGATATCTTTTGCAGATTTTGAGTGTTTAGTTTGTGAGCTGCATCTCATCCTGTTTTATAGGAGCTTTTAAAGAACATGTAAGGTTCCTGTTTGTTCAAAAAAACCCTTTCAGCCAAACATGAGCTCCCTCCTTGGGCAGGGCATCCGTTCCACGTGCTGCTTGCAGGGTGGTGGCTGAGCTCACCCCTCGCCGTGCCTGTTCCTCCTGTGGGCAGGAGCCAGAGGCAGGACCTGGGGCTGCAGAGTGGCCTCCTCCAAGAGGAGATGCTGCTCTAGGTCCAGCCCCAGGCCACTTCTCTGCCTGTGCTCCTGGACACGCTGCCCACAGCTGCTCCCCGTGCTCGAGGCCACAGGAGGAACACGTTCCATGCCCAGTGGCTGCAGTGGCCTGGCTGTACCTGAGCTGGCACAGATGTTCCACTCCAGTTGTCTGCTCATTGCATCTGAGCTGGGAAATGTTCTGGCTCACCCTGCTGGCTGGCCCCACGTTCCTCTGTGCAGACACAACCTGGGTGCTGTGTTGCCTTCCACTGAAAGGTGCTGCCTTCCCTGGGTGGGGTGGACATCCTGCATGGGTTGCCACAGTAACCTGTGAGTTACTGCTCATGGCAATGTGGTTTTAGCTCAATAACAACTTTTTTTTTGGCAACAAAGGGTGACCCAGGTGGGAAAGATGTAATTTTTTACGTGGCATTCCTATTTTCACTTATGGCTTGACCCTGTCCTCTGTCTCTTCTTGGGGCTTCATGTCCACCTGTCAGGCTCTGCGAATGGCATCTTCTCATCCTTGCTAGGATGAAAATACTGTTTCAAAGTCAAACTACAGAGAAATTGGTGGCAAATTCCTTCGGCAGTAAAAAAGGTAAACTGCTCCTGGAAGGACAAGGAGTATTGGGTGTGCAGCCCCATCACACCTGCAGAAATCTGAAACCTGTTAGAAATGAGGGGAGTGGGGTGTGAATGAAGGCAGTAAGTGGACAGCCACAGCAGGAGCCTGGGTGTGGGGGCCTGGACATGGTCTGTCCAGTATGGGCCAGGGCTGGGCTGGCAGACTGGCCTGGAGATGCTGGAAGCACATAAAGGTCAGTGGGAGCAGCCTGTGTGGGGAGGAGGGGAGGGGCTCTCAGGCCTCATCAGGGAGGCTTTATCTTGACTCTTCTGTAAATGTTTTCTGCCTTCAGTTTACTGCCACTTTCCCAGGCACTGCTCTGAAGAGTGCAGCTTAGGGTGTGCAGTCCTGGGTGTGGAGCTGGAGTCACAGGCAGCTCTGGAGCAGGGGTTTAGCCCTGGGAAGTAAAGTCTGAAGAATGTACTTCAAGCCATGGGCATTGAGAATGCCTTTAACTCCTTGTAGCAGTACTTAGATCCATATTTACATACAGGAGTGTTTTCAGTACCATGTTGATACAACCAGTGAGGAAGCAATGACTTCTCTTGCATATTTGCTATGGGAGAATTTACAGATTATGGGTCAGTTTTAGCTTCTCTTGTTCATGCCTGCTCACTGTCTCATCACTGAGTGCAGGCTGCTTCTGCTCAGCCACAGCCCAATGTGCCAGTCCCTGAGCAGCAGTCGAGGTGCACAAGCTGGGGGGAGCAGAAGCCAAGGCAGCCCTTAAAGCAGGAAGGGTGGGGGAGAGGTGGAGCAGAAGTTGAAGTTTTACAGAACTGTGGGGGGAAGCAAAATCTGAAGTTCCAGCTGGCAGTAAGGACCAGCCCCTTTACCTCCTATCAGTCCTGCTGTTTTTTCCTGCAATAGAAAATAACCATAATGGGTCACAAGGTGGGAGTGGATACAAAGAACACTGTTAAAATCTTAGACCCCTGCAATTAACAGGCATTTGTGGGGTAGGATTCTTGGGTGGTGCAGGTATGCTCCTGGTATGCTCTCGGTGGAGGCAAATAACAAACCCAAGGGGGTGTGCCAAATTTCTGAGGCTTTTCTTTCTTTTTCCCCCTGAACCCAAACCTTAGCCCCAGTGTAATGTGAATACACAAGTCATACCAATTAGGCATCCAGTAGAATTTTTAACCAGTGTTTGTGTTAGCAAATACAAGTACTGCTGGGAAACACTGGGAAAAACCTTCAAACAACACGAAATCTAGAGCCAAGGTTGTCAGCAAAGGGGAACCTGAGCCTGGGATTGTGTCTAGGTGAGGCACGTTTACAGCAAGGGAAGCAGTGTCCTTTCAGCTGTCAGGGAGTGGTGGTGCCAGGTGGGAAGGTGTCTCTGCCTGTCTGCACTGCCACGTGCTGGGGTCTCTATTGAAAGCTCTGCTGCTGAACACAGCAGTAGAGGTGAGGAAGGCTGTTCCCCGTGCAGCTCTGTTCCAGCAGTGCCTGGTTCTGACCAGAAGGTGACAGCCCGTTTGCCATCTCCCACCGTTTCCAGGTACAGACTCACGCAGTAACAAGTGCACAGCGAGTCCTCCAGTGCCCATGTCCTCACCCTGGGAGAGGCCAGGCAGGAGTGAGTGACTCTTGCAAACCTCCCAGAGTGCTGCGTGCTGGAGGGGAGTTTCTGTGGTTTAACAGATCAGGGTCACAGAATTCTTTTCACAGCAAGTATTTTTGAAATATTTGACACTGTCTTTTTTTTTTTTTTTTTTTTATACCATAGACCAAGGTAAAATGGTATAGCACAATCTTCTAAAAAAGAAAAAGAGGGAGAAAAAAAAAAACCAAAACAAACACACACTTCAAAACCCTTTGTAAGAGGAAGGGGGGGGTGTGGAAACAACTTCCTAGAGGTTAAAAAAAATCCAGCCCTCAAACTGCCAAACAGTGTCAGCCCTGCCCTCTAGTGCCGCCAGCAAGGAAGAGATTGTTGCGTGGTCCACGGCTGGGTTGTCCAAGGCTGGGCTCACCTGATCATCTTTTAAGGCATATTAGAGTGTGGTTTGTTTGTTTGGATTTTTTTTTTCCCTTTTTTTTTTCCTGTCTGGTTGCTTTGTAGAGTTATGGTGGTGTTTATAGTGTTTGCACAGTATTTTGCTGCAAGACAACCAAAATTAACCTCGGGCTTTGCCAGATGATGGGCTCTATTAAAAAAAATACTAAAGCATCTTGAGCACCTAAGATAACAATGACAAAATTTTAAATAAGCTGCCAAAGAGTCAGTGTTGATGTGAGTTGTGACTCACTGAGGCTTCCCCTCCGCAGCATCGAAGGCGAGTACGTCCCTGTGGCGGGCGATGAGGTCACCTACAAGATGTGCACCATCCCCCCGAAGAACGAGAAGCTGCAGGCAGTGGAGGTGGTGATCACCCACCTCGCCCCTGGCACCAAGCACGAGACCTGGTCGGGGCACGTCATCAGCTCCTGAGGCCTCCTCACTGCTCACAGCTGGCTGCAGGGCACCTGTCCTGGGAGTATCCTGTGTCCTGTGTGGGAGGAAATGCTGCATTGTCAATACAGCAGAGGCAGGCCAAAACTACCACTTTTACAGCTGCCCTTCAAAAAAGGCAATTCAAATGCTAATGAAAACAATCTAATGTGTTTACAAAAAAATGTATTTTGAGGAGACCTAGTTTGTGTGCTTGGTGGAGGAGGGGGGGCTTGGTTATTTTTGTGACCCAGTTCCAGGAACTGCCCGGGGGAGCAGGGGGGAGGTTTGCAGGAGAGCTGTCCTAGCACTGACCCACCCAGAGGCACGACTCCGAGGAGTTCCTTTGAGCTGCTCTCCTGGAAGGGCTGAAGGTCACTTCCTGCTCCCAGCGTGCCTGAATCCTTGGTTTGAGAGGGAGGGGTTCATTGCTGAGACTTTTCCCATGGTGGAAGCCTCCTCCTGGTGGCTGTGCTCGATGGCCACAGCTGGGTGCCCTCCAGGTGCACCGTTTCCAAAGGGCATCTGCATACCTGTGGAATATTGCAGTTTTAAAGCCTGGATTGTCTGGGAATTTACTTAGGTGCCTTGGGGGTTGACTAGCAACAGATTTTGTAGGCCAGTATTAAAAAAGCCACAAAAAAACCCAACCCAAAATTTAAAAAAAAAATTCTCCAAGGTAAGTGGTGGAAAGCTGCAGAGTAGTGGGTACCCCACAGCTTGTCTGTTTGAGTTGAGACAAAGCTGGAGATCTCCTGGAGCTGGATGTTCTGCTGTGGCAGCCCACTGGGCAGGCAGAGGAGCTGTGCTTCTGAAAAGCACATTATTACTGAGGATAAAATCCTGTGTGAGTTACTCAACAGGCTGAGCTGTCTTGGTGAGTAGATTCTGCAGCTGTTGCTCTGGAAAACTTGCTTGGTAGGACACGATACGGTCATCCTCACCCTGGCTCCTCTCTGCCTGCAGGATTTCAGGTAGTTGTACTGCAGCTAAGTAAGTTCTACTCCCCTTTGCCTTCCACATCTGTTTTCAAATGAAGCATTTTTCTCTATTATGTTCCTCAAGTGGATTTTTAGTGACTTTGCAAATAAAAACAAAATAAAAAAGGCATGCTATTCTTCTGTTAGTCGTGTGAACAGTGTAACTTCAGTTGCCTGTTTGCAGTTTCAACAATAGGTGCTGGCTGCCATGGAATGTCTGGGGCTCTTTGGCAGCAGCAGCTGTGTTCTGGGGTGTGACCTGGGGAGAGCACAGCTGCTGGAGGTCAGTAGGTGCTGTGGTGGCTTGGTCACCTCACCTGTACCTGTGGCACACCCTAGTGTACAAGTGAGGTCTGGGGGTTCTGCTTCTCATTAACCATAAGGCTTAGTGGTGGTCTAACACTATCCAGCTTGTTGGAATATCACATGCTGCTTCCTTTACAATAAATGCAACTGTTCTAATGCTTTGACATGTCTTCAGTCTGCTCTCTGCTAGCTGGCCCTGAAGAGGGTTAGCATTAAAGACAGAGGAGAACTCGGGTGCCTGCGTGTGCACCTCCTCCATGAGATTGAAAAGCTTTTCAGAAAGTGTTGCAATATCAACTGGCTGGCATCACTGGAACAATTAGGGAGTAATTTTTAATAAGTTTTCTAGCTGCTTACTAGATGAGTACATAATATATACCACTACATCTGTAAACACGTTTATTTTCATTATATTTTGTAGTACCCATTATTTCTATCAACATAGAGTAGGGGGGAACAAGGGGCTGTAGCATGGCCTGGTCACTTCAGCTGAAACCTGGGGGAGGAAGGCCAGAACATTTGGAAGGGGCTCCTGAGACAGGAGCCAGGGTTTGAGATGGTTCAGCAAAGCTCCAGGGGCTGGGCCCTGAGCAGGGGCTGCTGCAGGCAGGCAGGAGCATTGTGCCTGCCCTGTTTGTTCCAGCTCACACTGGAGAAAGCAAGATGTTAGCAGGGGACTAGGCATTGTGTGTTGCTCTGCTTTATTTTCTGTTTTTTCTCCCCTCAGGGGCAGAATGTTTTCTCATCTGCTGGCACAAGAGGCAGAAGATAAACCTCAGCTATAGGCCATGGCTGTGCAAGGCTGACTAGCAGGCCTTTGAACATACACAGGTATGTGCACACAGGTGGCTCCTGAGGCCAAAACCAATTCTGGTTTGGTCCTGGTCCTGTGTTTGCACAAGTAACTCTCTGCAAATACAGGAAACAACCAGGTAGTGAAGTAACCAATCAGTCAGATCCACTGCATATGCACACACAAAGCAGCTGCAGCCCCTTTAAAGAGCTCTCCTGCAGTGCAGGTGGTCCTGGTCCAAAGTCTGCTCCCCTGGCCTGGCTGAAGTGGGGTTATGCTGTGGGAGCAGGCACACGAGAAGGGTGTTAGCAGATGAGACAGTTCTGATGCACGAGGGCATCCTCCCTTTTTTGTAAGCCCTTTAGGCATTCTGGTTTGGACTGGAAGGTTGTATTCTCCCTTTTTCTACTGTGTAAGTGTCACCAAAACTGGAAATTGGAAAGATTCAAGTCAGTAATTCTTTGTACAGACGGGCAGCATACAACAGGTCTGCTCTGCATCTTTTATTGGCCAAAATGACAAAGTGGAATAGTAATTTTTCATGATATAATGAGATTTTAGTCTTCACTAAATTAAACCGTTCATACACAAGATTATTTTCCTAATGCCACATGAGAAAAGTAATATTATCAGTTAAACATTGTCATGCTTCAACTTGAATTTTAATTTTAATAGAAACATAGGTTCAGGTCATTTTTCTTAGTACTACTTAGATCAGGAAAATCAGAAATCTAATCAGTAACAGAAAGACGTTTTGCTAAGGTGCTCATAATGTTTTAATTAATTTCAGTATTTTTTATTTCTTAAATTTAAAAACAGTCTGCAGAAAGTGTAGGTACTGCAAACTGTGCATTGGCACTGCAGCTGTGCCAAGGAGGCAACTTTAGCACCAGCTGGTCCAGCCTTCCCAGTGGTGGGGAGCTGGAGGCACCTTCTGACCATGCACTGGAACATGTGGAAGGTAGAGACTTCTGGCTCACTTCTACCTTCACACCCCCAAAAAGAAATAAAACCTTTCTCCTTTACTCATCTTCCTGTTTTTAAATAGCAGCTTCATAATAAAGACTAGGGATACTTGTAGAAAATTTTGAGACCATAAATCAACCATGGATTATGCCCACCCTCTTTCACCCTAAAATGTAATTAATTAGCTAAGGAAGTTTACTGTTGACTTAAAAAACATGGAAAAATTAAAAAAAAAAGAGTTTCCACAAACCCCACAACCAACCAGCAAGAAAACAAAGTACTTGTGTGAATGAAAAAACTGACAGGATGGTGCTAAATGAGCTCTGCTGTATTCCAGGGGCCAGCAAGGCTCTCTTCAATTAAAACACTTCCCTGCAGTAATGACTGATCTGCAGAGCTCTTGCTGTTCATGACCCATTACAACAAACACAGAATGCAGGAAGATGTTTTGAGTTATTGAACCGTCTTAACCAGTTTGTAAATGTGAATTCTAAAAGTCATTTAAAAAACAGCTCTTCACAGATTCTCCTTGTATCCTGTGGGGATGTGACGCTGTGGCCTTCTGTTCTGGAGTCTGTGAAAATCTCATAGTCATTCCCTCCCTGAAAACAAGAGGGGAAAAAACAGAAGAGGATTTAGTTTTCTGTAACTTAATGCACTGTCACAGTCTTGGGGTGGAACAGGACACATGGACTCCTTTAAAGCTTGTATTTTTTCCTATAAAACTTGGCCTTTTAGAGTTTATAAAGCTATAAAGTTTGCTGCAACTTAGTTATAAACCTGTATGCTCTTGTAAAACTAAACCTTTTCTTATAAAGCTTAGCCTGACACTGTCCTCTAACCATATTCAGACAGCTTTAATTTCACCCAAGTCCTTGTGCTTGCCCTTGCTCTCACTAGCTCCAGTCAGGTCTCTGCTCAGTATTCCCTGTGAATCACCCTGCAGAGCTGTTGGACTGTGCCAAATAACTGGGAACAGGGATTATGCATCATTTCAGTTCCCCAGTGTGGAGACAAAATGAAGTGCTTAGCAAAGGAACAGTATTAAATTCTATGGTAAATAAATATGTTAAATAAACACCAGCAACAAGAAGCATCAATCTACAATAACCAAACAGGATAATCAGTTTTACAGCCCTGTCACCTAGGTTTTTAATGGAACTAAAAAGTTCAGTTTAAAAATGTACTCTATAAAGTCTGTCAAGAACACTGTGTTCACTTCAGGAAACAGAAGAATCAGTGCCCATGGTTGGCTCCCAGCATCATGGGCTCAGTGCTCATGTTTGATTCCCAGCATCATGGGCTCAGTGCTCATGGTTGGCTCCCAACATCATGGGCTCAGTGCTCATGGTTGGCTCCCAGCATCATGGGCTCAGTGCTCATGGTTGGCTCCCAGCATCATGCTGACCAGTACTGCACAGCCAGTTAGAACTTTTATATTCTGACTTCAGCTCTTCCCAGGCACAGGGCCATTGGTTAGAACCCACCACGCTTGTGGTTTAAAACAGCTGCTCTGAAACCTGTCTACAGAACAATATACTCACTGGCATGGTCTTATCTCCAAAGAAGTAAACAGTCTTGTATCCATCACTGGCAATGATTCCCAGGCAGTACCTCTTATCCCAGCCATCTGGGAACACATCGAAGCTTATCTGGCCACCTAGGACAGACACAAACCAAACAAACTTTGGTTTACTGTGAAAACAAACTCTCTGAGGAGAGAGTAAGTGAGAAAAACTAAACTGGGTAAGATTTTTGGTAGAGGGGGCTTTGCCAAAGTCACAGAAATGTTATGAGACCCTGGAGTTCAGTTGTAGAAGTACTGAAAATGTTCTACAGGCTATCAGTTGTTGGAGTTGTGATTTAGAGATTATTTACCCATTAAATGAATATGAAAACCTTAACATGTTCATGAGCACTTGCTGCTCTTGAACTAAACCTTTAAAAAAAAATTACATTTAATCTTTTTACTTCTAGAAAGAAAGGACATGAATGAATACAGCCCTTGGTGTATGTACAGCCATAAAGTCTTAGGCAAAAGACTTTCTAAAGAATAGAAGGAGGAAACCAGCCTTTTTAACACAGCTTAACAGACAAGAACTGTTCTAGTTCCAAATCCTTGGACTTTAATACATAAAAGCATGACTCCAATTTGAAGTGGGTGTCAAAAAGGTATTTACAGCATGCTTCAGGAGAGCTTCCTGCTGTTCATTCCTGCCTCAGTGGTTCAATACCACGGCACTAATGCCACCACACTTTTTTTTATAATTCTGAAAAGTAGTAAAAGGCAAGAATATGATATTATACTGGGGAGAAGGGGGAGGAAACAAAAAAAATATGGAAAATTAAGTCCCCCTTATTATCACTTTTCTCTTGAAGCTTGCACTAGCTTTTGGATTTTCCTTCCTCCCTCCCACACGATGCAGCTACAGAGCTGAAGAACCAGGGGCTGCTGAACAGCACTGAGGTAGTACTTCTGCTCAAAATTGATTCACAGCAACACCTCTGACTCACCAGAAGCATGCAGTGTGTTTCAAAATGAGCAGAATCAGTCACACAAGTGACACTAGAAGACAATGAACTGATGACAAGCAATTAAGTTCTTTGTTGATGGATTTCAATTAAAATGTACCAAGTGAAAGCCTAGGAGGAAAGAAGAGGCTTAGTCTTGTGTGTGGTGCTGCAAACACCCCCAGAAAGGTAACTGTCACACAAATGAGACTGGGTATGTCACAGCTGTAAGAGGATATGACTGAAATGAAACTTAAATACTGTAAATTAAATTATTTTAATGCATTACCTATAGAAAACGTGAGGCCTTTTCCTGCAAATTCTCTTTGTAAATCAGCTACAAATTTCTCTCTTATATGTTCCTTCTGTTAAAAAGCAAAACATCAGTTATGTGCTGTATTAGATCATCAACAGAAAGGTTAAAAAAAAAACAAAAACACAAAGTATCCACAGGTCTGAGTCTCAGGACTACTGTGATATAGCTTTATTGTACTGTTACTGAAAGCATGCTGAGAGTATTTCCACTTTAATCTGTTACCAACTTGTAAAAACTGAGCATGACACATATATGCCATGATATTTGCCTCTGTATCTGAAAATCAGACTGCTGAGGAAGTTCTCTTCAACTCCCAATGAAATTCAGTTTCACAAAGGGGCAGACTAAGGCATAGAAGAGTCTCAAAACTGATACCAATTCTCTGATGCCACACACTCAACAAAAGGGTGTCTTCAGAATGCCCTGAAAATGCCCCTGTGACCGAGTCCCAGGCAGAGGCTGCTTTTCAGGAGTCAGAGTTGTCTTTGTGTGGGGTCAGAAAGGGCTGTTAGGGTGTAGCAGGGGGCAGAACTCTGAGACCCTGCCTCAGGTTCATTTCAGCCTCGCACCTTTAGCTGCGTGTACAAAGGCAAAGGAATGGGCTGACTTCAGCTTGTCAATTCTGCTTTATGAGGCTTTGAAGGGTTGACAAGAAAGGGAACTGTTTTATGGATTTGAATGGATACAGGTTGGTATACTAAAGAGCACTCCAAGTAAGATTCATTTTATCTGTGACAGAGTTTTTCAAGAACCCTGTGGGTAGACAGAGGTTTTTAAGTACACTGGATATAGTTAAAAGAAATATGAGGCAACCCCACCCCTTCTGCAGGGAATTGTTGCTAACTACTGGAACAAAAAAAACTATTGTGTATTTCCTGAACCAAAAAGTTAGTTAAACCACATGGAAAGGATTACAATGAAAAAAATTGCACAAAGTGTAAAAGCTTTTTCAAAATCATAACCTGGCCATAACTGCCTCTTCCAGAAGAGCTGGGTATTTTTCAAGGGTTGTAACTCACTTTATCAAGTTCATAGAACTCAACTCGTTCTTCCTGGCTGCAGCTTCTTCCAATGGGGGACACATTTATCATCCCATTTCGGAACTCAATGAAAGTGCCCCTGAAAAAGAGACAGAAAATAGATGGAAAAATTGCTCAGAATACTGAGTATCACAGTGAACTTTTGTTTAATTCTGAAGAAGCTGCAAATCGGATGTCTCCTTCAGCCTCTCACTCTGAATAAAATCCCAGATATGGAGGAACCAGTACCTCCAGCATCAACGACTCTTTTGGACTTCTGTTTGAATCTCAACATCAACAGCATCCTTACTGACCTTTAAAAGTATGATTGGGTTTAGAAGTATGACTGGAGCATCTGGTGAGCCCCATTCTCAGACCTGGACAGGACAGCCTGTCAGCTTTGGGGTGAAGCAGCAACGTTTAGAGCAATCTTGGCAGTGTTCACCTCATGTAGGGGGTGTGTTAATGGCCCAAGCAGCTGCACCCTCACACAATCACATGGAACTGACCTTATTGTGTGCTTTTTGTCTCTGGAAAACACTATCCTGCTGAGTTCAAACACGCTCAGGAAATATTCCTCCTTCAAAACTGAACTTCTTTCCCTCTTAAATAAAAATGCTGAACCAGCATTTCAAATCCTGTGCTCCAGCTGGGAGCTTGCCTTTGTATGCACAGACTGAGCTGTTCCAGGTATACAGCATCTAGAACACAAATCACTCCTTTCCT